GAGGACACGGATCCCATCTTTGTCTCGGGGGTTAGAAGGTGGCCATCTTTTGCAGTTTTATGCGTGCGGTTTCCTTTGTCCTTTCTGAATACCATTCACTATTCATGCATACATCCGACTTAGTGTCTAGTGCTCGAGTTGGGACTTGCAACCCCAAGCAGCACGAGCCCACCCGACCGTTCAACCATAGCGAAGGACATGAGCACCCCCTCTATTTTCACTCTTTCTGACTTCTCAGGTCTTTGCTATTTTCAAGCTCATTCAAGACTCAGTTGGAGGCTCCTAGGGAAAGGGTGTTCTTCACGCCTCTTTACCCATAGGTTCCCTAACCTCTCTTGCATTCAACCAACACTCAATGCCTCGCTTTGCTCGTGAATTTGAACTCACGGTTTCCTCTCAAAGGCACAATCTTTATTCCATCCAAAGCTCACAATACAACCACCCCAACCAGTCTCACCCCCATACCCCGTGTCCTCGTTTCGCACGTACACTTTCGAAGGTAGCTTATCCAGGAAGTAGCTTCAGAGTGCTATCTTCTACTCATAGTTCTAGCTAGTCCTTATATCGCTCATTCCTACCAAGCTCACTCTATTATCCAAATCTTGTCATTCCAAATTTGCAAAAGAAAAGCACAATTTTTGTTCAACGCTCCCCCTTGCTGTCACGTGTCTCATCTTGCTTGGCCCCTTGCCCATCCTGTCTTTCTGCTGACTTTTTAACTCCCAGGCCGGAGGCCATGATTTCTCTCTTTCTCTTCGCAATTTCTGGCAATTTCATCTCAGTGTGAAAGTCCAAAGGTGTGGCTGCCACTCCCGCCTCCATGAATTCCCTGACCTTGATAATCCAATCGTGCTTGATTACACTGAGCCATTGCTCAAACCAATGATTGGGCGTTGGTCCAAACTCATCTTCCCATCTGAAGGTTCCTTTGCGTGGCTGGCTCACAGGGGGTCGTCTTTCTTCTCGGGGCTTTGAGATCTCATCCCTCTCATTGCCACTGCTAATCTCGATGATCTCTTGTACCTCTTCCTCCTCGTCCTCATCCTCCGTCGTCCGTACGGGGCTGAACTCACCCGTGAAATTATTTGGATCTAGATTATAAGGAATCTTCGTCCTCCTCCCATATCCTTCCTCAACGTCCGGGTATCTCCCCTCACAACTGTCATGGTCGCTCCGCTCTTCACGCGGGCTTTCCCTCGTTTCCTCCCCTCTTTCATGCCTGTCACTCATGTCATGCCTTCCTTCATTCTCCCCATGCCAAGGTTCATGCCGGTCGCATTCTTCGGCCTTCTCCTCGGCAGAGTCTCGGGTCCTCTCTTCCACACTCGTTTTCTCTTCCTCGCTCTCACTCCCTGATGAGATGTATATCCCTTCCCCCTTTCTGAAAGGCGAGGGCCCTCTACACACTTGTTTTCTCGCCCCCCTGCCCACTACATGTTTGGATAGGTACCCTATGTCCAACTTTCTCTTGGCAGTCCTTCGTTCTTGACTTGGTCCTGCTCCTCCCCCTTCGCTAGGCCTGTTGACCGCCCCACTGTCATTTTCGTTGCCGAATTCCATTTTTGCTTTTCTAAGGTTTCTTTCCTGATCCTGTATAACAAAACAACACCCGCCAAGTCCCTCATACACACGTTTCCCCAATTCGGTAGGAAATACCCCTTCCCCCAGAATGCTCCCAGTATCCTTCGCACCAGGCCAGTATTATACATGCCCTTTCATGCAAATGCCACATTTGTAATGTTCCCATTATTTTCCCTTCAAGAACTATGGTACAATGCTCCCGACAGCCTTTTTCATTACCACACAAAAACCCATTGGTACAGAAGAGTCACAGGGCATCCCGCCTCACATTCTCAATCAGCCCAAGCCATTGCCCCCCCCCAAAAAAAAGGAAAGTCCCACAAACGTAGTCAGAGACAAAAACAGAGGGTGGGTACCACTGTCATCAGCTCTCAGCTTGCAAATTCCCCAGTTTTTTTTATCCTGGGCTTCTTGAAGCCATTGTTCCACTAGGTCTCGACTTAGAAACCTGATCAACCGTTGCCCTGGGAAGGGCCCCTTCAATCCAGTTCCATCCAAATCTTCCAATTCGAAGGTGTTCAGTCCCACCCGCTTAGCGACCCGGTAGGGGCCTTTGAACCTCCTCCCCAGCATTGAATAATTGTTTGAGGATTGAGGATTGCATTGCATATTAGGGGGCCCTAGGCGAATTGGAAAAAATATGGAAATTGCATTGGAAGATTTTGCTTTTTTTCTAGTCTCATGCCTCAGCAGGAGGGGGATACCGGTGCATGCACCGCGACCTCAGGACCTCTACCCGTCAAGGGAAAAGTCTCAGCGCGACCTATTCCTCATAAGGAAGGATAAGGGTTGAAGGACCAAGGCATCTTTCTCTTTGATTGGTGCTCACGGTCCGGAACTAACTCCGATAAAAAACTCTAGTCGGGGAGTTCAAACTGCGCCTCATGTTGAGAACCTAAATGCTGGTTCGTCCTGCTAACGAATGTTGATTGGGCGCCGATTGGATGTTGCTTGAATGCTGGTTAAATGCTGATTGAATGCCGACTTGTTGCAATGATTGGGTCCAAGGGAGAAAACTGAACTTTTATGTCTTCACCTAAGCTTAGTCGTGGCCTGTTCGACCGTTTCCAGTGATGAGCCAGTGTTGTGCAGCTTGCCATTGTGGCCATAATAATAGAACACATTCGATAAACTTTTCCTCTCTGACCATCCGGACTGCATTTTCCCTCAGTACCTGCCTATGCAGTTCCATGTCTCGACAAACCTCTTCGTCCCATCCCTCCTTATTGAAGGGTCAAGGTCGTAGCTGCCGCAGTTCAGAAAGGTCAAGGTCGTAGTTGCTACAGTATCGAAAGGCCAAGTCTACGGCCTTCTTGAAGGTCCGAGTAGTGGCCTTTCGAAGTTGCCCACGTTTAGGCTGAGGCACGTGGGCAAGTGGTGAGGCAAGTGGGCAAGTGGTGGAGTCTACTCGTGCTGAGTCAGCAATCCCAGTCCTAGTCAGTCCTGGTCCAGTCAAGCAAGTACCGCAAGGGACTCTGTGCACTACGGGCATGGGAAAGGGCCCAGACCAACGAGCTGCAGAAGTATAAATCATGAGGCAGCGCCCAGCCATTCATTCATTCCTGCGTGAGCCATGCGGAAGTGCTGCCACAAGCGACAAGTGCGAGGTGGACTGCAGAGAGCCCGAGGACGAAGTGGGCGAGAGAGAAGGGGCTTAGCCATAGCGATAAAGTAGTAGCGACCATAGCCGCCATAGTTGTAGTTAGAGTTCAGCGTGCGAGTGTGTGTGTGTGTACAGAGTATCGCATGTGGGATATCCAGGGTGATCCTGTGTATGCGAACAGAGAGTTGTGTGGGCGCTGAGTCGCTATAGCCACCGAAGTGAACTTGTATCTGAATTGTGTTATCGGTTACCACATCCCTGAGTTCTGAGTGGGCGCTTGTCGCCAGTTTGCTGTGCACCTGTTTGCATGCTTGAGAAGTGTGAATGAGAGCGAGTCTGATTGCATTGGTATCGGAGCTGGTACCCGCTATTCCACGCGCGCTGTCGAGCATTGCAGGGAAGAGTTACGCGCCATAGCCAGAGTGGCCATCGAAGAAGAAGTCCGCCATAGCGGACCTGGAGGTTGAAGAAGCCGCCGCGCGCATCTGCAGAGAAGACCACGACGAGAAGAAGAGAGAGAGAGAGAGAGAGAGAGAGAGAGAGAGAGAGAGAGAGAGGCTGAGCGATACAAGATTGGCTTACCACGTACCTGCGAGAGAGAGAGAGAGAGAGGGAGAGAGAGATGAGCGATACAAGTTTGGTTGTCACGTACCTGTGAAGTGTGCCGAGCAGTTCCACGAAGTGAGAGGCGGCCATAGCCGCGGAGCTCGACCACAAAGTAACGAAGAGAGTGAAAGAGAGGACAGAGGGGGAGACCGAGCAGAG